CACAGGATTCACGGCATGTCGGACGTCGTTTTCGAATGCGTGATTCCTTACATACACGACTCCCGTGATCGGCAATCAGTCTCCTTGGTGTGCCGGAGATGGTACGAGTTAGATGCGCAGACTCGGAAGCACGTTACAATAGCGTTGTGTTACTCGTCAACGCCGGAGCAGCTATGGCGGAGGGTTCCCGTATCTGGAATCGTTGAAGTTAAAAGGGAAACCACGCGCCGCCATGTATAACTTGATCCCGGAGGATTGGGGCGGGTTTGTGACGCCATGGGGTTGAGGAATTTGCGAGATCTTTCAGATGCTTAAAGGCTGTGCACTTTAGACGGATGATTGTGACAGACGACGATCTTGAGGTACTCGCAAGAGCTCGTGGCCATGTTCTTCAGGTTCTTAAGCTTGATAAGTGCTCTGGCTTTTCCACCGATGGACTGTTGCATATTTCACGTTCTTGCAGGTATCTTATCTTTCAAACTTTTGCTCTTGTGCATAATAATTTCAGTTTCAATCTTATCATGCGATTTCATCTTCTTTTTTCTCCCCCAATCTGCTTAATCTGATCATTATCTTTTCAAATACTAAATGTTTTTTATTATGTATATGTGGATCATTTGCACAAGCCCATGTCATGATTATTGTGTAGTATCTGTCTTCTGATATATTGTTTTTTAACAATTTCATTTGGATTATTCGAAACTTTCTTTGTGTAGCAGTTGTTACTTGTTATTGCATTTAATGTCAACATCGAGTTGGTTGAAGTTTTGAATACTTGCTATTTAATTATGATGCTTGTAATTAGAAAACTTTCTCTTAAAAGACAAAATATCGATGTGTTATATATATAATACTTCTGTCATCCATCAAAACCACAGCATTCGACAAAACATATATATAGAGTAAGCTTAAGAGAGTTTCAGACTAATTGTCAAATGTCTAAAATACCCCTGAAATTATTGCAGGAACTTGAAAACCTTGTTTCTTGAAGAGAGCCAAGTAACAGAAAAAGATGGAGAGTGGCTACATGAGCTTGCTTTGAACAACACAATGCTTGAGACATTAAACTTTTACATGACAGATCTTTCACAAGTAAACTTTAAAGATCTTGAACTCATAGCTACAAAATGCAAGTCTCTGGTTTCAGTCAAAATTGGGGATTGTGAGATCTTGGATCTTGTTGGCTTCTTTCGGGCAGCTGTTTCACTACAAGAGTTTGGTGGGGGTTGCTTTAATGATCAAGCAGGAGGGTATGGTGACGTGGCATACCCTCCAAGATTATGTCGTTTGGGTCTAAATTACATGAGTAGTTCTGAAATGCCAATTGTGTTTCCCTTTGCATCAAGGCTCAAGAAACTTGATCTCCTTTATGCTCTTCTTGACACAGAGGATCATTGTCTCTTGCTCCAACGTTGTCCCAATCTTGAAGTTCTTGAGGTAATTAAAAACTAAAATCCTTTTCGTTTTCGTGTTTGTTTTTTATTTTTCTTGAAAAGACCCAACTTGAGAGTCACGACAAAGATGGTAACTTTTTCAAGATAATTAATAAAGTTGTGACTACTTTGTCATGTATTTAGAAAACCCTTCAACAAAAACACAAAATAAAGTGATCTTGTGGACTAAAATCGATAGCATAACTTTCTTGGTGTTGAGTTGTCCATGAATTGGGACGTTTTCTTTTGAAAGGACCCAACATTAAAAGTTGCATACAGATGGTAACTTTTCAAGCAAATTAGTAAAATTGACTATTTATTTTGTCGTGTATGTAAAATACACTTCTTAAGTAACAAAAGCACAAAATAAAAGCAATCTTGTGGACCAAAATTGATGCTTGGTGTTTTAAATTTTAATATAATCTAGAAGAGAAATTGAATATCTTTTTCTTTATTCCATTTTCCTACTCTATTAATATATTTTTAATCTCTTTCTTTTAATTTTGACATTTATAACAGTAAAAAAATAGATTTTTTAATTTTAACATTGATCATAGAAACAAAAAAATAGAAGTCATTCTAGAATATTCTAAAAACGTCACGTATCAAAGATCAATAACTTCGGTTTCTTGGTAATGATGCAATTGAAAAAAAAAAAAAAAAAAAAAAAAGGTCTTTTCGTCTTTGTTTTTGTCGTTAAAAACTGTAAATTTTTCAAGAAAATCAATAAAATCTTCTATTTTGCCATTTATTTAAACATACCTTCAACAAAAGCACAATAAAAAGCAATAAATTCAATAACATTAGTTTTCTACTTTTCTTTTGTTCTTGGTTTTGTGACTTATCCCGAAAAGATCTACCTTTCCATGAAAATTTGTAAAATTTGACTATTTTGTTATGTATTTAAAATTAAAATACCCTTCTCAATAAAAACACAAAATAACGCAATCTCGTGGAGTAAAATCAATAACATAAAGAGTAAAATGTTGTATTTTCTCTTGAGATGTATTTATTTAACTTGTGTTTTATGTTGATAAACAGACAAGAACAGTGATTGGAGACAGGGGACTTGAAGTTCTCGCAAATTCATGCAAAAAAATAAAACGATTAAGAGTGGAACGAGGAGCAGATGAACAAGAAATGGAATACGAAGAAGGCGTCGTATCTCAAAGAGGCTTAACAGCTATAGCCAAAGGCTGTCTACTCCTCGAATACATCGCCGTTTACGTCTCCGACATCACAAACGCCGCCCTCGAATCCATGGGCCTCCACTTAACAAACCTCTCCGACTTCCGTCTCGTCTTGCTCGACGGAGAAGACGTAATTACCGATTTACCCCTCGACAAGGGTGTTCGATCTCTACTTAGCGGCTGCCGTAAACTCAAACGATTCGCTCTGTATCTCAGGCCGGGAGGGTTGACCGATGAGGGTTTGACTTACATCGGTCAATACAGTCAACATGTTCGATGGATGTTGTTAGGGTATGTTGGTGAATCTGATAAAGGGCTTTTAGGGTTTTCGAAAGGGTGCCCTAGTTTACAGAAGCTTGAAGTGCGAGGGTGTTGTTTTAGTGAACATGCACTTGCGAATGCTGTTTTGGAGTTGAAATCGCTTAGGTATCTTTGGGTTCAAGGGTATAGAGGGTCGCAGAATGGGTGTGATTTTTTGGCTATGGCGAGACCTTTTTGGAATATTGAGATAATTCCTTCTAGAAGGGTGAATTGTGGGGAAGATAAAGTGGTGGATCATCCTGCTCATGTTCTTGCGTATTATTCTTTTGCTGGATCAAGAACAGATTGCCCTCCTTCTGTTATTCCATTTAGAGAGATATATAAAAGGAAGATTAATGGAAGAAGATGATGTGTATTTGATATATTCGTTTTGTTTTTATGTTGTGTGAGAAGTTGATGAGAGAGAATGAGCATGGTATTATGAAATTATGGGTTGGTAATTTGGTATTGAATATGTGCTTATAAGGAGTGTAAAGTTATTAGGCGTTGTAAATAAATAGTGTAAAGAATAACACGATGTGTAAATCCTTTCTGGCCATATCTTGTTCTTTGCCATGAATATGAATATATGATCCCAAATTAGTTAATTATTGCTTTTGAAGATGGACGCCGAAAAAATAGTAGTGTTAGAATTTTCAAAGAGATGGTTACATTTATATGTTGTGTGAGAAGTTGATGAGAGAGAATGGTTATATTTATATGTTGTGTGAGAAGTTGATGAGAGAGAATGAGGATGGTATTATGAAATTATGGTTTGTTATGAACTTATGATTTTGATCATTTTGTATTTGAATATGTGCATATAAGGATATTTATTGTTTCTTTTGAAGATGGAAGCTAAAAAAAAAAAAAAAAAAAAAAAAAAAAAAAAAAAAAGCAGTGTGAGAATTCAAAAATTAGTTAATTCTCTTTTGTATTCTAAAGATAACAACAAGGCGCCTGTAGCTCAGTGGATAGAGCGTCTGTTTCCTAAGCAGAAAGTCGTAGGTTCGACCCCTACCTGGCGCGTTTTTTCAATTTTGCTATTTTATTTGTCTCCAGAAATTTTGTATTTAACCCCTTATACAATTATATAAATTACATGCGGTTTCTTCAAATCAACAACAAACACCTAGAAAGCAATTCTCACACACCAAAACAAGTTTCGAAAACATGGAATCAACCACTAAGATCACAAAATTATGAGTTCCATCTTTATTCTTCTCCTTTCACGTGCCAAATTGTTTGTATCAAGACCTCACACTCTACACTTGAATAAATTTTGTATTCATAATCACATGAATTGTCACAGTTTCTCAAGGGAATACAATTTCCTAACATGTGGGAAGATCCTTTGGTGGCGGGATAATCGACTCATTTGGCCCATTACCATTATCCACCAAAAACGCCATCTTAAGACCCCATGTCGTGTGCACCTCGAGATGACAATGCAAAAACCACACACCTACAACGAAGGGTAAAACCATAATTTACTTCTACCATATACCACAATTAATATTAAAAATTAGGGAAAAATGACTTAAAACTCCAACGAAGTTTCCAAATCATTCAAAAAAACTCAATCATGTTTTGTCTGTTTAAAAAAACTAAACGAACTTAACCTTCTGTCTAAAAAGTCCAACAAAGTTCTAAACCGTTCAACAAAATCCCAATTTGTTTTGTTTAAGTTCGTTGGAGTTTTTTTGAACAGACAAAACATAATTTGAGTTTTTTAAACGTTTTGGAAACTTCGTTGGTCTAACAAGTCATTTTCCCGATACGGTAATAAGCCAAGTCATCTAGTTCTTTTATTTGACTTTCAGGAAAGTGTACCCTAGTTAGTCTTTTTAGACAAAATGTTAAGTTCGTTGGGTTTTTTAAAAGACAACATTATGGGGGGTTTTTGAACGGTTTGGAAACTTCGTTGAGCTCGTAAGTCATTTTCCGTAAAAATTAAAACCTAGCTAAAATGTGTCTTAAAGTATCATGTTGAATTGTAAGTTTTTAAGTTTTGATATTTACCTGGATTATCAGCCTTAAATCTTATAACAATCCATCCGGCAGTAGGTACGGTGAGGGTGTTTCTCTCAACGGGATCGACTAAATTGAATTTCTTTGGATCATTCACTGGATCATAGTTCCCTAACCCCTTTGCCACCACGAAGAAGTTGAACCCATGAAGATGTATCGGATGGCTTTCGGGTGCTATAATCCCATTACCTTGAATCACAACTTGAACAGTAGAATTATACGCTAACCTATAAACTTTTGTACCATTAGTCGTTTGTATATTCGTGGGCCCACTGCCAGTATAGTTATAAGGTGTCACCGGATTTCCAGGAAAATCATCGGTGAAAACACCACTTGTGTTAAAGTAATGTGCTTGAAGGAGAGCTGTGTCCGGCATCACAAAGGTAACATTATTGATGCCCGCCACAACTCTGCTTCCATTAACACAAGTGGAACATGGGTCGACTCCAACACCAACAACAAAGAATAAAGAGTGGTCGATTTTCAGAGGGACAAGAGCAGGGTATTTTGGGGAATTCAAACTTCTAAGAGACTCAATGAAGGAGTTGGTGGCCGGAGTAGCATTTGTCGCCGGAAGGGTGGTGAGGGTAAGCGGTGTGTAGGGTTTGGTGGTTTTGTAGCGTAGGGTGGCTATAGCGGTTTGGTTGTCAACCGCCACAATGGTGTCCATGAAAGGGGAGATGGCCATCAAGTACTTGCCGGATTTTTGATCGGCGGTCAAAAGGACGTTTGTGGTTTGACCTGGAGCGGTGTATATGGTATCCGTTTTGAATGGCTTCACGTAACATGCGTCAACTTCAACAACTGTAAATTCATGCTTTGCGATCTTGAAAAACACATCTTCATTCAATGCAGCGTTGATTATACGTAACAAGTATGTCTTTCCAGCTTCAACATGCAACGTGAATCCAGAAGAACTACAACCAGGAGTTGGCCCCGGATAGCCGTTGATGGTGTGTGCATCCGATACATTAGGCGGCATACCCGTTTGAACCCACTGGTTCATAACATCATCGGCATCGGATTTCCACCATTCTCCTACCAAAAACCAATACAAATTAACCATCGTTTTTAGTTTTCAAAATCGCTCAAGATGTAGAATTAGGTTCAGTTCTTACCTAGCACGATGATTTTTTCATGATCGGGCTTAGGGAAAGGGTAAGGAACGCCGTGTTTAGGTAAAATGACGATAGCACCGTGTACGGTGGCTCTTAGCCATGTGATATGTGCATGCCAAAGAAGCGTACCCCTTTGTCCGGTGACATTAAACTTGTAGAGATAGCTTTGGTTTGTTTGTATCGGACACTGTGTTATATACGCCGGCCCATCGGACCACCCTGTTCGTAGTTGCCGGACTCCATGCCAATGTATAGTGATGTTGTGTGGCACCTTGTTCACAACTCGAACGATCACTCTGTCGTCTTCCCTAGCGTATAAAGTTGGCCCTGGAAACTTTCCATTTATAGTAACGATGGGTTTACTTTCACACAACCTAGTCATGTTCTTCATCACAACCTGCAATTTAGTATAAACAGGGACTTACTTGGTGCACCAATTAAGGATCTGGATATCAGAAACAGGAAACGGGCTTACATTGAACTTGTAATGCCAAACCTTAGACTCAATTGTGGTCGGAAACAAGACCATGGCTAGAACCACCAACACTGACTGAACCCAACTCGCCATTTTTTTTTTTCCTAACTCGAGCTTCAGCTCGATCTTTTTCTAGTTTCTTTGTAGAGTCGATCGTAGGAGGCTTTATACAGGATGTCAATGAAATTAAGTGATGTAATGTCGTTTTACGATGTTAGGTGAGCAAAAAGTACAGATGGAGGACGTCATTTGATCAAGATTATATAAGCACCATTTGGAATTTTATTTTTGCATTTTCATTTGCCCAAGAGACGACAGATGTTGAAATAAAACTATTATTAAAACATACTTCCCACCTTAATTGGATCAAAATTCTTAGTCCATGCATCTCATAATTCTAGTTTATTGTTTAATTTGGGTATGCCGCGACAGCGACCTGTGGTGGGTGGGCGATAGGTGATCATGGCGGTGGTGGTGTTTGGATGTTAGTGTCGAGCTTCGAGATGAGAGATGGCTTTCAATTACAGCAGAAATCCAGAAGGGTAAGTGGCCACGGATGCTGGAATTATGTTTGGATGTTATTGAATTGGTTGTTAATTTAGCTATAAGATGCGACATGATTTTCGTGATTAATATTGATGGGTATTCTTCATCTTGTTCGTTTGACGCCATAGATTTTGACCTTCTGGATCAAGATGATTGCTTCCAATAGAATAAACTTGTGTCGATTGTTATTAGGCATATAAATTAATGAAAAGGAAAGACAATGTCGATCAAATGGAACCGCTTTAATTACGTCATGCATCCAACTTTCCATTTGGTGTTAATGAAAAAATGAAATTGTTCATTCCTTTATATAATTTCGAAAAAACCATCTCCAGTCGTCTTCATACTGTTGCCGAGTTTTTTCGCAAATATAGGGGATGTTTTTGGCTCTACGCCCCTTTCAAATTCATTTGTAAACTTAATCACATTAAGGCCCCTATAAGTTTTACTTTTCACCTTTAATTTTTAAAAAATGTAAATATAATCTCCTTTTATTTACAATTATTATTTAGTACAACACAAAACCAGTATATAAATAAATATTATTTTTTATATATTTTTGTCATTCTTTTTCCTGTTTGACATAAAAGTCATCATTCTTTTACAAACTGACAATCTAATAAATTATTATATTTTGTTCTCACTTACTATATCTAACTAAATTTTGTTCTCACTACAATGTTGTTGAGTGACTCAAATCTTTGGCTCGACCCCTCACCCTGCTTGCACCACAAATTGCTAAGCCATTGATTGACTATTTTCAATATGAAAACTACTAATCAATTTTAAATACATTACGTAATTAACTACACATTCTTTGATACACATTTGTAAGCAACTTACCTAACTAGTCACGTAACTATTCTATTTTAATGATATAAGTAACTTTGTTAAAATTTATATATAAAATTATTAAACTATCATTTAATATTAAAAAAAATAATAAGAAACAAATATTAAAAAAATCATAAAAGTATGATTAAAGAAAAGATTTATAAAAAAATATGATTAAAAGATAAAATTTACAATAAAATCTTTTTAAAGAAAAAAACTTGGAACATCTTATTAAATATAATATTTGTGGATTATATGATTTTCTTATAACAAAAAAATTAAAAATAAAAATATTTTACAAATCGATATATATATATATATATATATATATATATATATATATATATATATATATATATATATATATATATATATATATAATTTTAAAGAAATAAGATGCAAAAAAAAAAAAAAAAAAAAAAAAAAAACTTCACCCATATATAGAACTAGTGATCGATCGCTTTTAAGGTCGCAACTTTTTAGTGTATGTTATAAGGAAACAAAATGGTTTGGAATTCAAAAGATATTGTTTTAACATACGTTAAACATCTTGAAACTCAATTCTTTGTTGAGGATGCTTCTATAGCACCCACTATCTTGTTAATACATGATTTATACAACAATCCAAGATAATCTATGAGACTTTCTTCGGACGCCCCTTCAACCGGAATTATTTGGAAGGACCAATCAACCAAGGTTGAACCATCCCCATAATCTATTAGTTTGAGTGAATTTACGGATCCGTCCAAGCCCACATTGCTAGCCTCCATTCTATACACGTAGCTATGCAACAATGGGTCCATGGAAATTAGTCGTTCTTTGATCCAGGATCGATCACCGTCATCTTGAGGAAACATAAAGCCCGAAACTAACCGAACGTAGCCAGGGACACCCTCGACTCCTTGTAGGTGAGTGCATGTTTCGACCATAGGCATCCATTCAGGCAGCCGTTTAGTTTGCGACACTATGGGCCATACTTTTTCTATAGTTGCATCGACTATGCCTCCGACTGAGCCTCGCCATGGGTCTCCGAGCCTATTTTCCTGGCATATATGTCAGATAAGATCTTATATAGAATTGGTTAATTAGATGATTTAAATTCATTGATAATCATATTGTAGAACGAAAAGAAATACATACCATATGTGGTGAAGCTTGTTGAATTTTTAGATAATATTAACATTTCTTGGTGGATAAAGAGTTTGCATCTATCGGTATTCCTAGATTCTACCAAACAACCTAGAACTTAGTGTAAGCTTTCTTGGAATGTTTCTTGAAATATAAGAAAAGATGCCATTGGTTGATAATTTCAAGGATTAGTTACGATAATTCTTAGGCAATGTCAATTAATTTCAGATAATATTCATATATTTTCTTAAGGATAATCACAAAAATAACCGACTCAAGATGGCATAATATCTAAACTTAGTATGATGTTTAGAGATTTTCTAGAATGACAATGTTTTCCGAAATTCCACATTTCAGACTTGTGTTGTTAAGTTAATTTGGATAATACCTACTTCATTGTAAAGATCTTTGAACTATGAAACGAAAACACTTTGTTGTCAAACCTCCAAACATGTCATTTTTGTATCTTTCGACAGTTGTGACATAGATGATCACTACTACAAAATTGTCCCTTTACCTACAACAGATTATGTAGGTAAATTGTAGGTAAAACGGGTTACGTACAGATTGACTACGGAAACAACTCCATAGAAATTTCCGCCAATAATTTCCCTATGGATTGTTTACAGCTACTTTTATCTACGGATTACCTACGAACTGAAACCAATTTTACTACAAATTACCTGCATAATTATTATCTACAGATTACCTACAAAATATTCGCTATGAATTCCCTACAAAAATAGCACCTGTTGATTTCCTATGATTATTTACTACTGATCACCTACTACATTTCCAATGTAACAGGCTTTTCTGCAGCAAATCCGTCACTAAAATGTTTTAAAAAAACACTAATAATTGAAATATAATCCACGTTTTTATTCCTAGACATTAAAAGGAAATCTCCAGAAAAATTCTAAAACTTTAGGCCAATTTATGAAAAAGTCTCAAACTAAATTTTATTTAAAGAAAAGCACAGAATATCGGTTAAAACTTCGAAAAAAACTTTTTCGGCCGGTTTCGCAAATTTTTCTAGTATTCTGTCCTTTTCGTTAGTTTGCTCAAAATTTTGGACTTTTCCAAAAATTACGTAATAACCAAAATATTTGGATTTTTTTAAAAATTAACATGAAATTAATGGATATTATTATTAACAAGTCATTTATAAGCATAAATAATATTTTTATTATAAAAAAATGAAATACATTTGTTGCTAATTTATAGGAATAAATTGGTGGTTTAACTACTCTATTACTTCCTGACCACTCAAACTCTCTACATTCTTCCTATGCAATGTTGTGAATATGATGGTGAGATGAATTTAGTTAGCATTCCTCTAATGTTGGTGTTCCTCTTATGTTGTTTAACCTAACTACAAACCAATATTCATACATTACATGTTAACAAGCATCGGTTAACACACATCTATAAAATGTGAAAAGTGAACTATGAATGATAATTTATACCGAAACAAGTGAAGGGTTATTATTTATATAAATTGTCATTCAAAGTTTACTTTTTTTTACTCTCGCTAGATGTGTGTAATTTAATGGTTTTTACCGGGTAATGTTTGAAGGTTAGGTGATAGTTATGTTAAAGAACATAATGAAAGATCTATATGTTTGTGTAATGATGTTTTCTAATAACACATGATCATATAGCATCATGTCTGATAGAAACTAGAAACTTATTGATTGTGTATTAATAAATATTATCAACTCTTATATTGGTCACGCCTACAGAGTACTTCTCAGTATGACACCCACAACGATATATAGGAAGAATATAGAGACTTTGAAGTGGTCAACAAACAATAAAGAAGTACATAGTCGATCATTCTATTCCTAGAAATTAACAACAAATGTATCTCCATTGTTTATAATAAAAAAATCATGTTTATAAATGATTTGTTAATAATAATATCCATTAATTCCATAGTAATTTTCAAAAAAGTCTCAATATTTTGGTTATCGGGTAATTTTCAGAAAAGTCCTAATATTTTGAGCAAACTAATGAAAAAGGACGGAATACCGGATTAATCTATGAAACCAACAAAAAAGATTTTTTGGAAGTTTTAGCCGGTATTCTGTACTTTTCTGTAAACAAAAATTAGTTCGGGACTTTTTCATAAATTAGACTAAAACTTTAAGATTTTTCTGAAGATTTCCCTACATTAAACCCAAAGTAATATTCATATTCCCATACATTAAACCCAAAGTAATATTTATATTCAACCATGAGATTCAAATGGATTACCATAGATGAGAAAAACACCCAATTTATTAAACCTAAAATTATATTCATGTTCAACCACAAAATGCAAATGGAAATGGATTACTATGAATGGTTGTTCGTCTGTCTCAAAAAGACAAAAAATGGATTTCAATAAATACAAGACAACATTATATTGCTTTCCAATTCACAAATGGATTTCAACAAATACAATAAGAGAGTGTACAACAACAATTTTTCTGTAAACCTCCATCATGAACCTGAAAATAGATAGTCACTACCTTCTTTCATCCAAGTCGTTGCCATCACCAGAAACCTACACCATCCGACTCTCTACACCACCAACATCACCACCCTAACACCGTTAAACAACCAACACCAACCACAGCTGCCATCTGCATAAACCACCACAAACAAAGCACAACCAACACCTACCGAAGAACCAGCCGACAACACCATTTCCACCGCCATCATGTCCATCTCAGGAAACACCGAACATCACATCCCCTTCATCAGAACCAAACCACCCTTATACGTGTAACAATTGGTAAAAAATTGTCAAAGTTCGTCGGTCAAACCACCGTGAACTGTTATGTATTAAGGACCAATTGTGTGTAATTTTATGTTTATGATGTATATTAAAGATGTTGTATTTATAATTACGTTTTGAACATCTCAAACTGCTCAAACCATCAATCGTTAAAGATCGAATCGAAAATCATCAAAAATTAATTCAATTGGTGACGTTAAAAATAAATGTTTGAATTAAGTATATCTGAGAGTTGTGGATAAGGAATTTGAACAGACAACGTTCTCTTGATTCTGTAAATATAAAGAACATCCAAAACAGAGATCGTATGAAAATTTTACACCTCTTTAAGGTTATAAAAATCAATATTTATCTCATTTTTCCTAAAACGAACTATATACTGCTTCATTTGGAATAGCTACAAATCTCACAAACTATTTATGAGCATGTTTTTGAATTTAGACTATGATATATTATTTTATTATATTTTTTATCACATTTTTAATCTCGACCAAAATCAGATTCGTAAAATCTGTCGAATCTGGAACAATTAAATGCAATACTTTAAACGTTAATTCACACAGCTCGGTATATTGGAATTTAAATCTGCCTATGTTTATGGAATCACCTTGATCGAAACAATAAGCATGCACTTTAAAAAAAGGAAATCGTATGACGGCACAAGAATCGAGAAATCGGGATTTACATCACAAAATGAATTATACATATTTATTTTCCAAAATATCTATCATAAACACCATAAAGCCAATGGAGACTTTTGATTTAGCAGTGGAACCTTCAAATTGAAGCAAAAGGGAAAACCCTTCCTTCAATAGTGTTACATCCCGATGTTGAGGTATCTTCAATTATAAGCCTAAGTATGATTAAATATTGCATTTTGGTCCCTGAATATAATAAAGAGTATAAAATGGCCCATAGTGGCAATATGGTAATTCTGACCAGGGTTAGTACGCTGAGAAAGTGTAAAACTCTAATTCTTAGGATTTGCTTCATATATAAAGATCATTATCTCTCATTTCTCATTCCCTCACTAGCCTTTTTCTCTGAAAATCGACCCCAAGCAAACCCTAGGTGAGAATAGTGTATCTTGAGCCCATTGGTGTACTTTGGTAGTGTTCTTAAATAATGAGAAGGTGGTGAGCAGAGCTTGGAGCTTGGAAGCATCTTGGATAAGAGATTATCTTATTGTTAGCAACCTACAGGAGGATTTGGGTTGAGCCAGTATTCAGGAGCAGTGTACTGATCAATTATTCATCACACTATGAGGTGAGTTTTCCTCATTGTACTTACGGGTCGAAGGCACCAAGGTCGACCCGTTGAATTGATATTATGGTTTACTGTATGTTGTTGTGTTTTAGTGATCTGTTAGATCTGTATCGTGGTATATAGGATGTTGCTATGTTGTAGTGATCTACGAGATTTGTATGATTATCTGTATATAATAGTTATTGATTGTTATGGTGTATGTTATATATGTTGATATGTGATGGTGTATTGGGTTGAGGCGGTCCTGCTTTGTGATGAAGGCCAAGATACCTATGGTGGTCCAGATAGACTGAAGTCCTACAAGGCAGACTAGTCAGGCTGAAGGCCTAGAGAGCGGTCCAAATAGGCTGAAGGCCCGATGAGGTGGTTTATGTAACACCCCGACTCTCAAGTATAAATTTTACGGTCTTATGTTTTCATTTTGAAAGGTCTACTCGATGATTTGGGTGTCGTGACTCGTTGAGTAGGAACAGATTTGGCCGCGTGTCTTAATGAGCAACTCAACGAGTTGGAGGACACGACTCAATGAGTTGGAGTTGGAGGATGAAACCCTAATTTCTGGGGTTTTACACCCTATTTAAAGTGTCATTGGCCTCCCTTACAGTCCCCTTTGAGCTCATAAATCCTAAATCGTAATTACTTTCCATATTTGTGTATTATTAAGCTTGGAAGGAAGATCTTGGTGAGAGGAGCTTGAAGACTAAGGAGCTTGGAGCAAGGAATAATTGTGGATATGAATTCTACTCCATTTTAGCATCACTTGAAGGTAACAAGTCGTTGCCTCGAACTTCCTTCTAACTAGATCTCTTCATGATTGAGATTAGGGCCATTTTATCATGCTGGTGATTAATTTCGGGTATTGAGCATGATCTGAACTTGCAACTTCAGATCTAGGCTCATATTGGTTCTTATAGTCATAAAGGTTCAGCCTTTAGCAAGATAATGTCTTTTCCTCCATTAGAACCTC